GCGAACACCCTTAACTCAAACCCCTCACCACTATACTAATCCTAATGACTTTACACCTTAATTTCTCCCTCCACTCTAACCATGCACACACATGCCATCAACACAAAATCTCAATATTACATGCGCAATTAGCTACGTTTTGCTACGCCACGATTAGCCACATTATTTAAAAATGTGTTTCTTTATTTAGCCATATTTTTTGTGCCAATTAGCTACGTTTTTTAAGGTGGCTAAATACTGCTTTTTTTGTAGTGAAGTGATTTCAATATAGATTTTATCATAGTTGAACTTGAGATTCTATATAAAAAATTCATATTGATTGATGTTAAAATTCAATTTTAATGTTACTAGTGTAAAGAGACAAAACATTTAAGACACTTAAGATTGTCTCTGCAACCAGGTTAAGAAAATAGCAGTTAATTAGTGGTTAAAAAATTTAATTGCGCTAGAAGGAGGGGTTGAACCTCCGACCTTGTGGTTAACAGCCACACGCTCTAACCAACTGAGCTATTCCAGCATTTGATATGCGTATGCTTAGATACAATAAAATCTGATTAACACATTGTCTAATGAGATAACAAGTATACTTGACTCAAAATCCTTAGTAATTGCATAAAAAATCTTTCCCGAAGTCTTATGTGAGAGGTTGGATAAAACATCTTACGGTAACTTTCGTTTAATTATCTTTATGAGTTCACCTCCACGTATATGATAAAATATGCACAGATAATGACTCATTAAAATAAGTACCTATCTTATAGGTATGATCCATTTTCTATTATGTGTAGTTACGAGAATACATGGCCACAGCCCACAGTGCAAAAGAAACAGTAATTTGTTAAGAAATTTATTTTAAAAAAATGGTGTTTGACGGAATGATTGTCAAATTCTTGGTGCAATACTAACAAAGATAGTTTGTTTTGAGGGCCTAACGTGTTAAGCTCTATACTATCGTAGATTCTAACTTCTACATTCATAGGATATACATTCAAATCTCATTGCCATAATTATTTATTAAAAAAAAAGGAAATGAAAACTTAGTTGAGGAGAATGTCTACAGTTAAACTGTACGAAGTCTCAACTATTAAAATATTTTATTTTACTAAAAATTATAAAAGAGAAATACATTTCTTATGTTACATGAGATAATTTATCTCATGCAACCCATAAAAAATGGATATGACCTATTTTTTTCGAGTTCATTTTTGCTGATGTTACTTTAGAAAACGTTGTCTAATGTTCACAGAAACAATATCGTTTTGGGACGAAAATCATGATGTTTTGTAATTTTAATTTATTAAAGGGTCATAATAGTCTTTATCATTTTCATTTTTTAATCTTTCAACCCCTAAACAATATCATTTCGGTAAACATTAGATTAAGTTTTTTAAAGTAATATTAGATGCTTTATTTCCTTTTCTTCTTTCTCTTTTCCTACATGACCCGATCCATTCGATCAGACACTTGCCATCTATTTTCATTGTTCAACTCTTTGACAACATGAAAAAACCAAAAGCTCTTGCCCCCACCCCCCTCTCGATCTATCCAAGGGATGGATCCTAAACACTTTTTTATGTGATATAATATGATAAACACATTTCCCGTTATAAAGTTCCAAAAACAAATGGTAACCGTCAAATATGTAACTACATGACACGGATTTAGATCCTCTCAGGTGTAAAAGTGATCATGTGATCATATTATTTGATCATAACCACTCATTCATAATGAGATAAAAGAGAGAAAAATGTAGGATTTTCAAATGATTGATTGTGATATGATCACTTTTATACCGAACACACAGTTGGGTTTTTTGATCCGCATACCCATTTTTAAGTTGGATCCTTTAAAGGGGCGTTTGGTACAGGAGAAAAAAAAATTTACTGAGAAAATAATTTTGCCGGAATGTGATTGGAAATATTTTATTCCGATAAGTTACAAAAATGTGTTTGGTTAACCAAAATTTATCCCAGAAATATTTGATTAAATTTAATAAATTGATGTTTGGTTGACTGTGAAATAGTAGTAGGAATGTAGGTTATTTTACAAACATAACCTCACTTTTACTTTTTTTTCAAAATTAGTACACAAAAAGTAGGGTTAATTTGGTCAATATTATTTTAGTTACTTTTTACTTTTCCATGCAAAAAATTATCCCACCTAAACTTTGGGTTTTCTAACAACATAACCGTACAACAATTTACACATAGCAACAAAAATCGACAAGTTTTTTACCAGGGAAAGATTTGCATTTGTTGCAACCAAACATAACATTTTAATTTTTCATATGAAGCTTTCCAAGGAATTTCAATATAATCTGAGTAACAAACACCCCTAAGAGACATAAACCTTGTTGACAATTTCACGTTAATATTCTCAGTCGTACCACAGTAACAGTAACCAAAATATAATAAAGTCTGATCAAAGGTTGTTGCCCATGTGTATGGAGGAGAAAATAACAAGTTATATAGTGGCACAGGGCTTCAATTTGAGTTCGACTCAAAAAATTATATATGTATTGTATTCCAAACAAAAATTTATATGTGTATAAAATTATTTTTCTTAATTTTAATTAATTTATATCATAATATATTTAAATTATGTTAAATACAGAGCACCTGAGCAGACAGCACTAAGAAGAGTTATGATTTTATTAAATATTTTTTAATTTTAGTAAAAATATTTTATTTTATTTTTATAAAAATTGAAATTAAACACATAATCTAATACAACTTACCCAAATCTTTCTCTAAAAATATTTTAAGTTTTAGATAGGGCCAAATTACAAATTATAATCCGAGTCAAATTACAATTTTAATTCAGACTAAATTATAATTAATTATATAATTATATGTAATAAATATAATTTCTTAAAACTTAACCTAGGCTGAAGCCACACCCAAATTATACGTGGCTCTGCCCCACTTAAGTTATGGCATATCATTATCCATGGGTGCACAAGAACAATAAGAAAATTAGGGTTTCGGAGTGGTACTCGTAAGATGAGCCCTTTTTATAAAGAATTTCATATTTGAGAATAGGATTGGGCTGAATCACGTACCCTACGTTAAAGCCCGTTGTGCCGGTCCATAACACCGACGTCCAAGGTTTTTCAGCATAGTGCAGCGAATCGTATCAATTGGATCCCATCCCACGCATAGATTTATTTTATTTTTTTTCGTGTGTTACAAACTTACAATTTGGTGGCAGTCAAATCAAAACATTCTCATTAAAAAACGGTGATTTTGATTTATAAGAAGATAAGAAAGGGTTTAATGTGTGTTTTTCTAAAAAATATAAGTCTATATCTTTTCTCATAACGCACATAATTTTAATATGAAAGTTATTTTTTTTTCTCTTTGTCCACGTCAGCGGATAAGGTTTTAAAGAAAAAAAAAGTAACTATAATATTATAATTATATATTACTGAAAATACATAATTATAATAAAAGAGTGAAACCACATAAATTTATATTCTTTAAAATTACAAATAATTTTCCCTATAACAAATGAGAGAATAAGTTGAAGAATAACTGGCTCACGGAACTAGCTAAGGCAAGCTTGATTCTAGCTATTAATTGGACTGCCTTGCAAGTTAAAATTTAAATTCATAAATAAAAGTAGAGATCATCGTGGCAAGCCTGTTGCTTAGGCCAAGGATTTTTGTTTTATATTTTTTGTATTTAACCCAGTTCAATCCAATTTGAGCACTAGTGGAACTATATTGAGGTTTTTCTTTAACATTATTTTCTACAGATTTCTGGTTAAGAAAAACAAATTTCTTATCACTTAAACAATGGTTGTTAGTAAGTCAAGAAATTTGAGAAAGATGAGCTACATAGTAAAATCACCCAGAAATTGTTAACATCAAATAAGTCAGTTTTATGATCATCTATGCAGTAATTTTCTACAAAAGGAGTACAAAACAATCCGGTAAGGATCGGATGAAATTTTCACTTAAGTGCATTGCCATAAAGAAAAAAACTTAAAACAAGCAGAAGCAGTGACTAATTAGGTAGAAGAAACATCATGTATAATACTACATGATTTAGAGTGAAATTGTATATTAAAAAAAAAAAAAAAGACCATGGATTTAGAATTACATTTACAATCATATTTTTCTACAACTTTTGAAACATAAAAATTACAAATTCTGAATACATCAAATTGCAGTCCTGTCATAAAATAAATTGCTGGCATGTTTAGTCTCTCCCTCACCTCTTTCCCTTGCAAGTTTAGCTGTTTCCCAACACTTGAACCATAAAAAATATTGGTCCATGAACTTCTAGACTTCAGTGCTAGCCAGTTAACTATTTTAACATCTAAATAAGCCCAACTAAAAGTTAATCTCTTAAGTAAAGCAAAACATGGGAGGAAGTTATCTACAATCACTACGAGTTGATCGTTTTAGCTTTACCCTGATGACCGAATAGGCTAAGGAATAAATGAATGGTGTTAACATCCTAAATCAAGTGCAACTGCAGAGAACCATTCTTTAGAGCAATAAGCATAAGCATCTCTCGCAGCAAGAATAGCCTGGGTCATTCTTCAAGCTGTCACTTTAACAATTCTCTTGATCTAAACAGCACTGGCGGTTTTTCTCTGAAGGAATAACATAGCATGTGTTAATATTGTCAGATCCTTATATATATATATATATATATATATATATATATATATATATATATATATATATATATATATAGGGTTTATCATCTATCATTTAACATGACCACAAAAATTTTCCTACACACACAACATTTTGTGGGACCCGCAGCAAAAAAAAAAAAAAAAACTTCGGCACGCAAAACGAATCTCTATAACATAACACAATCACTTTTCCTACAACATAACTCTTATAAAACCCATATATATATATATAACAAGTCATGAATTAATTATCCCAAAAACATAAGTTGTTGGATGAAAACATATGAATGGTTTTATTTTTAACATATTCTCTCACGCAAGAGTCTTTCAGATTTGAAGTGTGGACAATGCTAAGATGGCCTCCTACATCAACATCATCAATATTAACAACACTTTTATCCCAAATTAATTGGAGTCGGTGGCAAATGAACCCAAATGAACAACCAACCTACCTTGTGCTAAAATTTAACTTTTTCCATTTAGAAAAATGAGGAAAAGGATCAACCTCTAGACCATATGGTAATAGAGGTTCTCATACCATACCATGAATTTTGCTTAAAACTTAAGTTATTAGGTGAAGACAGATAGATGATTTTATATCTAATGAAACAATTGAATAAATTTACCCTGGCTTAAAATTGTTTTGCATTTTGTCATAGATTTCGCTGCAGACAAACGATCAGGGCCTGCGTAAGTGAAAGTCGCTCAGTAGATTGTGGTTTAGTTGAAAATTATAGAGATAAACAAAGAATTTCATTACCTTGTGTATTCATGTCTTTCTCAGATAGAGCTTCTGCTGCAGTTGATAATTCAGATATAACTTGATTAGCCTTGCATTCATGAGAAGACCTTTTTAAATAAAGACAAAAAGAATGTCAGATAGAAGCGTTGGATAAAAAACAGAGGGAATTGCAGCATTATACAGAAACAATACCCTGAAGCATTATCCTTTGAATGACTTGATGATGGATGGTAAGAAAAATCAAAGCCATCTGAAGGGATCTCTAGATCATTTAACATTTCAGTGAATGAGAAGTCCATTCCCAAGACATCTAACTCAGGAAAATCAGTGTAAAGTGTGTCAACTTCCTTGTCAGACTGTGATGTAGAAATCTCATTAGGCAATGATTTGTCCAATCCCTTAGGGATATCAGTGGCATCAAACTCCAACCTGCTTCTTACGTGATCCCTCTTAGTTATCTTGTCAGAATCTGTCTTCACAGGAGAAATGCAATGACTGCTCTCGATATAAGCCATCTGTTTTGCAGGACTAACCATAACTCTCTTGGTTGAAATTACGGTGTAACAAGTGGGTGAAGCCTCCCCATTGCAAGTTGCAACTGAAGAAATCTCAGGAGGGGATATATATGCATCAGTATGAGAAGTATTTGTCCTAGGAGGTGTATTTGAAACTGGTGAATTCGTCGGAATAGAATGTGAAGGCTGACTAAATAAACATTTAGCAACACTGGATCCTTGAACCTGTGATCCACTGGGTACACAGTTCCCAGATGATGATTGAATTGCAGAAGAGGGCTGAGAAACTACTTGATTATTGACAGCAATATCTGATTGTGGCAGTATGTTTTGACCTGAGAATGAGGGTAGAGCAAAAATTTAATTGATCACTTTATGAAAGATTAGCACATACTTATCATATGCAGAAGCTAGGAGACAACCATACCTTGGACAGGAATTTTCATGCTGCATGATCTACCTCGAGATTTCTTTGCAACTGAAGTGGCATCCAATGCTTTAGTATATTTTCTCTTCCTGTCAGATACACTCATCATGGGTGTTGAGAAGTTTCCAGTCTCTGCATTGGTGTTGATACACTGAGGCAGCAAGTGTATATTCGATGTGTTTTGCGCAGTAGTAGTAGGAACACCTAATAAGAATGCGGCCAAGATCACAATTAACTTCAATACATCATTCAAACAACCTAAAAAGTTGAAGGCCAAATCACCTTTTAATTTAATTGAAACTTAATCCTCAAATGTCGTTTTAATACATTAGGGTCAACTCCAAAAGTAACCCTGAATTGATAACCATTCTTTGCTTACAAATGTCAAATACAGCAATAGCAAACTGTGACCAAGTGAAGGAAACATAATTTACTAATTCCAGCCCAACCAATTCAACCAGAATTCTACAGTCTCCTTGATTGTAGATATCTACAAGTCGCCATTATTCTATTCAGAATCATAATCTAGTAAATAACCCCCAATAAACCTTCTAATATGAGTTTTCCTTAACTGTCTTTTACACATGATACAGATTCAACAACATCAACATCAAATTGCATCTGAACATTAAAAAGGCAAATCCCGGTGCACAAGGCTCCCCGACTTGCAAGGGTAGGGGTAAGGGTCGATTATATGCAGCCTATCGCTACATTCTTTTTGCAAAGTGGTTATTTCCTATATTCGAACCCATGAGCTTCCGGTTAAAAGGAGTAACCCTATTACTACTCCAAAGCTCGCCTTCGTAAATTGAATCCAAATCCAAACATTATTCTTAAAAATGTCAAAACCTTTATTAGATAGAGTTTATCACATAATATGTTTTAAATTGCAACATGGAAAAGCAATGGCGGCTACAATTTCCAGCAACTATCAACAATTTAACGTAAACCGTGACAGTAACCGCAACTTAAAACTATCCTAACTGACATAAATTAAAACAAGAACATAGAATAATCACCAAGATTCAGCTCCTGGTGCATCAGGGAAAAGTATTGTACCCGGAGGAGTTTTGTTAATGAATTTCGGTTGAGGAACCCCCGCAGATTTTGCAGTCAACACGGGAACATTCGGTGCAGGGAGGCTTCGACTAGAATTGTAAGCGTTCATGACATTTTGCATGCCTTGCAACAGCATCTGAACCCGGTTTTTCTCTTGCTCAACGAGGACCCTTTCCCGATCCACCATCACCTTCTGCTCCTTCAAGCATATATACTCATCTAGCATCTCACCCAAACTCAACAAACTCTTTGGAACCTAAAAAAAAAAACCAAAATTTAGCATAGAGAACAACGACCCACATGTGAAAATCTGAATCAAAACGAAAAATAACCAAATGGGGTTGCAAAAAACGTAAATGGGTAGCACGAAACCTCGTTAATTGGAGAATTGTTGATGAGTGATGAAGCTTCGTTTCGGAAGGTGGAGCGCGTTTCGGAGAAGTTGTTGTCGCAGAGGTACCTGTCGACGATGAAGGCGATCTGGATTGGGGTAACCTTGCCCTTTCCGAAGGACTCTGGTTTTCTGGGCTTCGATTGTTTCCCCATAGTCGCTTTGCAATTGTCAACAACAAAGAAGAAGAACTGTGATTATGATGATTATGAGAGTTTCAGAGAGGTTTTTAGGGATCAAAAATGGAGGGGAAGTGAGCTTGGGTACTTCAAAACGCGGGCATTTTTTGTTTTCAAATTTATTGGTCGTTTTAGCTGTAAACGGCTAAACAAACACACTTATTAGGGATGGATGTAATATTATTTAGAGTAAATATCATTTTTGGTCTCTAGCAAATTTTACGATGCCCATTTTAATCCCTAGCAAATAAAAAGACCTATCGTGATCCCTAAGAAATTCAAAATGGACCCATTTAGTTGAAATTGTGGTCCCTGACAAATTCAAAAAAGATCTCTATTAGTCCTTCAAAAAGACTAAAATGGATCCATTTTGAATTTCTTAGGGACCACGATAGGCCTTTTTATTTGCTAGAGACTAAAGCGGGCATCGTAAAATTTGCTGAGGACCAAAAAAGGTATTTACTCTATTATTTAATGGCTTTAATGTTTCTAAAGTGAATGTAGATAAGTTATCTACATTCACTCTCAAAACGACGTCATTTTCGGTTGAAAACTTAAAAAATTATAATGAAAAAGACTATTATAACCTGAAATAAATTATAATTACAAAAATACCTTGATTTCTGTCTCAAAACGACGTCGTTTTGGGCTCAATGTAGATAACTTATCTACATTGCCTGTAGAAAAAGCGAACCCTTATTTAATATAGGGGTTCGCTTTTTCTGCAGTTATTGCAGATAAGTTATCTGCAATAAGTTCAATACGATGTCGTTTTGGAGCAGAAATCATGGTGTTTTTGTAATTTTAATTTATTTAAGGGTTATTATAGTCTTTATAATTATAATTTTTTAATGTTTCAATTCCAAAACGACGTCGTTTTGGAAGTAAATACAGATAACTTATCTGCAATAATTACATAAATATTTTACTATTAATATAATTATGTCATATGAAAGGATTATTTATGAATAAATTAATATATTTTTTTTTTACTTTTTATCACAATATTTTTTACTCTTATCTCTACTCTTCGTTAATTTGTCAATAAATAATTAAAAATCATTTAACATGATCATCATAATAAATTATAGATGAGATGATACATTTTCATCATTACTAAAAATTCACTTATATAATAAAAAAAATGATAGATGGATGAACTACTTCAATAAGTTGTTTAATAGGGGATGGCGATATAAGCGAGGTTGACTTGGAGGACGCTTATGATGATTTGAATAGAAGATTTGTGCGCAGAATTAATACACATGAAGTTAAGGAGGCTTTAAAGAGAATGAAGACTAATAAAGCCTTGGGACCTGATGGTGTCCCTATTGAAGTGTGGAGAGGCCTGGGGGATGTGGCAATAAAATGGTTGACCAATCTTTTCGATAAGATTCTTCAGACAAATAAGATGTCTGATGCATGGAGGAAAAGTATGATTGTGCCTATTTAGAAAAATAAGGGAGATATACAGAATTGTTCTAACTATAGAGGCATTAAGCTAATGAGCCATACTATGAAGTTGTGGGAGAGGGTTATTGAACATCGTTTGAGGAGAGAAACCAAGGTTTCTGTAAATCAATTTGGATTTATGCCAGGAAGATATACCATGGAAGTCATCTTCTTGATGCGACAATTAATGGAAAGATATCGAGAAAAGAAGAAGGACATACATATGGTGTTCATAGATCTTGAGAAAGCATACGATAGGGTTCCAAGGAAAGTTTTATGGTGGGTTATGGAGAAGAAAAAGGTACCATCAAATTATGTAAAGGCAATCAAGGATATGTATGATAGGGCTACTACATGTGTGAAAGCTTGTAACGGAACATCAAGTTATTTCCCTATCACGGTAGGTGTACATCAAGGGTCAGCTCTAAGTCCTTATCTCTTTTTCTTAGTTATGGATGAACTAACAAAAGATATTCAAAGAGGAAGTGCCATGGTGTATGCTTTTTGCAGACGATATTGTGCTTATTGATGAGAGCAAGGATAGTGTTAATAGAAAACTTGAATTGTGAAGAAGCACATTGGAATCTAAAGGATTCACATTAAGTCGGAGAAAGACTGAATATCTGAAGTGTGAGTTTTCTCTAGTAAGATATGTAGACCAAGATCTCATGCATCTAAGTGGTCAAGAGGAACCCAAGAAAGATGCTTTTAAATACCTGGGCTCCATTTTGCAAAAAGGTGGAGAGATTGATGAGGATGTAAATCATAGAATCAGAGCAGGGTGGATGAGATGACGTAGTGCATCTGGATTTTTGTGTGACCGCAAAATCCCCCTTAAGTTAAAAGGAAAATTCTATAGAACAGCAGTAAGACCTGCAATGCTATATGAAGCTGAATGTTGGCCAGCACATGGCAACATGAGCATAAAATGGGAGTAGCAGAGATGAGGATGTTAAGGTGGATGTGTGGTTATACGAGGATGAATAATATAAGAAATGAAGATATTCGACGAAAGGTAGGAGTACTACCGGTGGCTGAGAAGATGAGAAAACATAGATTGAGGTGGTTTGGGCATGTAATGAGAAGGCCCACTGGCGGACCCAGGTAATTTTTTTTATGTCTGCACACTCAGTGCTTTGGTGAATTTTTTTTAAAGATCATAATCATGATCCAATTTTTGCTTCCACTTCAAAAATAAAACTTTGGTGAATCAACCAAAGTTATAAGGAAATAATCGATAATGATAATTAAAAAATAAATAAATACCACAAAAAGACATTTGTAAAATATAGTATAATTGTAAGGGTTAATCGATCAAAAACCCACATTTGTCGATGTCTATTTGATCCAAAGTTGACCAGTTTTGTTTCATAAAAAAACATGAAAAATCTCGTGTAATTCTCCTCCACTCTTTATCTTTTTCCTTTTAATCTTCCTATGTAAAAATTTCTTTTCCTCCTCAACTTTATGTCTGCAAGTGCACACAAAAAACCAACGTAGGTCCGCCATTGAGAAGACCCCTGGATGCTCTCGTAAGAACAAAAGTTTGTTACCAAGAGCTCAACACAAAAAAAGATAGAGGTAGACCGAAACTTACTTGGGGGAAGGTAGTAAAACAAGATTCAATGGAGTGGGATACATATTGGCGGACGATATGCCTTATAATGGAATAGAGAAAAGCTATAAGCATGGTGGAGGGTTAGACCCGTTGTTATTCCTATGTTCCAGATGGTCCATTTATAGTCATTTTCCCCTTCATTTCCCCCTCTTCTTCTTTTCTCTTTTTTTTTTCTTTTTTACTTATATATATATATATATTTACTATTCTATTTATTTATTTTTATTTTTGTTTTTGTTTTACTTTTCTTTTTCTTTTTTTAATATTTTTGTATCTTTTATTGGACTTCATCTACCACCGACCCCAATTAATTTGGGATAAAGGTGTTGATGATATTTAAAAAAAAAAGAGAATAAGTAAAAAAAAATTGATAATTGGAGGAAAAAAATTAAAATATTACTATTTTAATAAATAATTACGAATGTATAACTGTTGTGAAATTATTTACGGATCTATTGCATTCATTCACGCCCAAATTAGGCATAATTCGTTTGGTGTTGACACGTGGCACAAAAAAGTCAACTTACGAACCGTAAAACTTTGGAAAGCCATAACTTTTGACTCAGTTATCCAAATCAAGCAATTATTTTTTGATCCCACAAAACTTTTCGAGATCTAAGCAACGACACCTTATTTGACATATTTTATATTTCACAAACATAGTTCAAATTTACAAAAACGATATTATAAGAGCATTTACACCTAGAAGCCTCCGAGTTCTGGGTTTGTGATTTAATATAAAAAATAAATAAAGATTTAGTTTGAGATTTAAATAAAAAAAATCAAATTTTTTAATTTTTAATATAAAAAATAAATAAATATTTGGTTTTTGATTTAAATTTAAAAAATCTAAAAAATTATTATTTATAAAGAAAACAAAATAAAGATTTTATTTGTGATTTAAACTAGAGGTGGCAATTTGGGTTGGGTGAATATTATTATACATTTAGGCTTGAGATTTGTCAAAAAAATTAAAGGGATTGTAAAATAAAAATAAGAAATATTATAAAATTATTAAAATATAATTTATTTTTAATTTATAATTATTTTTTTATTTTTTAGTCGGGTTGACTCGCCAACCCACCACAAAACGGGGTGGGTTGGGATTTTCAACCTATAACAAAATGCGAGGCGGGGCGAGCCGACCCGTTTTGCCACCTCTAATTTAAACTCAAAAATCAATTTGAAAAATCTTTATTAATAAAGAACAAAATTAAATAAATATTCTAAATATCTAAGGAAGAGATAATTTATTTTTTAAAACCATTCAGAGGCTATAATTTAATTAAATAATTTATTTTATTTTTAAAAATCATTCTAAATCAATTTTATTTTTTATTCGATTTCAGGTTTAGTTTTATTTTCTTATACCCATTAGTCCCTTTTTTCTTTTAAATGTATTTATTTTTCTTTCTCTTAGGCATACATAATTTAAATGGCTTTAAAGAATTTAACAAAAAAATGGCTTTAAAGAAAAAAAGTCATAAAACAGACTGATGTAACTTACGATACGGTTCAATAAAAGTCATAAAAAAATTATATATTTTTAAATTATTTTTTATTATATTTTTGTATCTTACAATTCGATATGATTCACAATATGAAAAATTAGCTAACGATACACGATATGTTGATAAGTGTCAAAGACACTATGTTTTTAATGTTAAAAATAGTTCAAATAATAATTAATATGATTAAAAATATGGTGTTAATTAATAAAATCTTAAAGAATATTAAAATGCCAACAAATAGATAAGATCCTAATGTTTATTGTTGTTTCTGGTTGTTTCACATTAGAAAAACAAACCACTGATATGATCTGATCTGATGAGAAGGCAGTTGACACTGGTTGAAGATAAATCAAAAATCAATAAAATAAAAAATTAATAAAAATTAATTATTTCTC